GACTTTCGTGGATGCGTTCGGGACTGGAAACTGCAGGAGCTTCAAGATTCCCTGGACAGCCTCGAGGACATCCCCGAGTTGTCCTCCAAAGCCTTGCCCCTCAAGGAGGGGCTGCAGGATACTCGAGTTGCCGTAGGTCTGCTGCGCGTCGATTTCCAGGCCGGCCTGCTTGACCCGGCTTTTGCGCTCCAAGTCTTGGACGAGCTGCTAGAGCAGGTCGCCGGGCTTCTACGCCGGGAGCAGGCAGCGGAAAGAGCTGCTGACGGGAGGGCTTGTAGGGGGCGGGCGCGGCCCACTATGAGAGGGGGATCGGGGCGGGCTCGCAGATGGTCGAAGAGGCTGGAGGCCTGGAGCCCCGCTTCTGCGCGGCGCAAGTCGCAGTTCACTGGTGGACCTCAGCACGCTCTGCAAGTAGAAGCGGATCGTTTGGCTAAGAGTTGGCAGGTTTCGCGAGAGACCCCTCCTCAGCTCGTTCCTGACATTGGCGATCGAGTCGCCCTGGGCCGGATTTAAGCCAAGAGGCTTCGACAAGTTTCCCGCGGCGTCCCGCGTGCCACCGCTTCTACCTGGGATGGGTTCCATCCCCGCCATTTCAGAGTTCTCAACAACGAGTAAGCGAATATCGCGTGCCAGTTCATCGGTCTCTTTCATAAAGTTGGCCACGTGCCTAGGCAGATCCAGGGGATTGTTTCAACGCTCATGACCAAACTTACACAACATTAATGCTCCTGCCAGTCAGCCGTCTTTTAGGGCCACTGGCATGCTTCCAGCTTTGCATCGCGTTTGGGCTTACCTTAGAAGGTCCGGGGCCAGAGAGTGGGAAGCCCACCGCCGTCGGCCGTGCCTTGCGCATCAGGCGGGGCCCTCGATCGTGGAACTAGTACATACGGAATCGTTGGAATGTGTGTTCGACAGCACTGACAGGTCATCTACGGTCATCTACAGCACCCAGGTCGTCTACGGTCTCTCGGACAACTACGAACATGTTGATAGGCCTTGTCTTGCTCAACTCTATGTTGAATATGGTTTCCCGTGTTGCCTTATCGGGGTGGTACTTATTATCTCAACGCGCTAGTGAACGCATCGTCTCGCTACGAGACTGCCGCTCGCGTGGGCAAGCCGCGTGGGGGTATAGCAGCTGGGTGCAGTTGGGCCACCTATTTAACACAGGTGTATGTGCGCGCCCCGCTCGTCATATGGACCCAGTCCCGCAGTTGCATTCGGCTCGCGATGTTTATAGACGATATGTTGCTCTAGTACCACGGCCGCATTTTCAGCCGCATCGCCTGCCAGCTTAACGTAGCCGCCAGGACGATGGGGGATTGCATGATTCATGAGTGTAAGTGCCAGATCGCCAGCAAGAAGAGCCAGGTCCCGCCTTATCACGAAGCTCTCCAGGACCAACTCCGGGATGCCTTGGGGGCACTGGCTGGCCCGCCTCGATCGCGCGGGTTCCAACCTGGGGGAAACTGGGGTTGGCGGGCCCCAGAGACGAGGGAGGAAGTTTCGGGGGCTTCTTGACAAGATGCGCAAAAGACTCAACAGGGTCCGCATGCTCAAGCGCGCCGGTGGGAACACCTTCAAACAGTATAAGATTGGCCTGGAGGCGGCCACCACTTTTGGAGTCGAGGTCGCTGTCATCAATGGCACACAGCTTGAGTCGGCTAGGTTTCAGTTTCTCGCTGCTGCCGGTCCGCGCTGTTCGGCGCGCAGCCGCAGTCTGTCGTTGCTCATCCTCCAAGACCCTCTGTGGAAAGCGGCCCCTGGGTCCTGCCATTTTGTGGCACCGTCTGGTCTGGGACGCGTCCACCCGCGCCCGCCGCGCCGTGGCCAGTCTGCAGCAGCCGCGGGAGCGGGCTGGCGCCATCTTGCTTAGGGTTGCGAAATCGCGGGGTCTCCCAGGGGCCCGCTCAGCGCTGCCGCGCTTTGCCTCAAACTTATTGGTCGGAAGTTTCAGGGCCTACTCAAGTTTGTGATATCCGCAGGCCTTGCATATCCCTTCCCAGGACACTCCCCTGCCGCCCCCCGAAAGCTCATGGAGCTAGACTGGCGCGCCCAGCTCGCCAAGCAGGCGGCCGCGAAGCTCGGCCACCAGAGTGCGCAGTTAGACGTTGCTGCTGCCCGTAGCGTTCTAGCATCTGGCCCCCCTGGACAACAAAAAGGTACACTTCTTGCCTTCCTCACATTGGGGCATCTGGGCCGTGGAGAGAGCCGAGGCTGCAGGATGCGATGTTCTTGCAGGCTGCGAGTGCGGAGACCATTCGGATGATCTCGGCCACATGATCTCGGCGAGCTAAGAGCCACTCGTTTCTCGGACGCGGAGCATCAGCGGTTTCGAGAGCCCCCCCCCAGGCCACCCCTCTGCACCTCGGGTTCCAGCTGGCCCCTGAGTTCGGAGGGGCCCGCCCCCAGGCACGGGGCTCGAATTCGGAAAGTTGCGGCGCGCCCAGGCTGATCTCAGCCCCCAGGGAGCTTTCAGCGAGGAGGAAGTTTACACAGATGGCAGTTGCACCAGCCACGGGCACTACGTTCTCAATGCCGCGGGGCTTGCTGTTGTTCGCATGCGTGCCAGTGAAGTGTTTGCCCATCTCAGCTGCCGAGTCGGCTAGATGTATCTTCGAACTTCGGGGGCCGCTGAGCATGTAGCTGCTGCTGTTGCTGGTCGGATGTCTGCTGGCATTGAAGTTGTTTACTTTGATGTCACTGGGGTAGTCTTGCTGCGTGGCGGCGGTGACTACCCCCGTCGCAACTTGTGGGCTGGGTTTCAGGCCCTCGCGGGTCGCGGGCGCTTCCGCGTGGGGCAGAGGCCCCTGCAGGCCAAGGCCCACCAGGACATCGAAGCCCTGCCCGCAGGCAGCGAGGCCCGAAGGTTAGCGGAATTCAGCGACGCCGCCGATCGCCGGGCCAAGGGGGCCGCGCAGCGAGGGGCCCAGCCAAGCGAGGATGAGAAGCGCAGTTTTTCAGAGGGCCAGCAGCTTTTGAATACATATTTCACGCATGTGGCCCAGACTCTGGAAGAGTGGCCTGCGATAGCCCCGGAGCGCAACGAGGCCCTGGCCACCCCAGAGAAGCGCCTCTCTCCTCCCACGGGTGTTGCCTCAGCCCTGTCCTCTCGGGGTCCCTCGGCCTCGTCGTCGACGTCGGTCGGGTGCCCCCCTCCTCCTCCTCCGCCCCCCGAGCCCCGCGCTGCCCAGAGAGAGAGCCTCGGAGGTTCACAATTGGGCGAGGGTGTTTTGTAAGTGGCGCTGTATACTGTGCCGGGCTCAGGCCCGATCGATCAAGCAGAGAGTTGCCCTCGAGGCCACATAGTGTCCTGGCCGCTGTGAGAAACTGCCAGATCTCGTTCACGCTAGCAAAGGCTATGGTTTGTTTTATTATGAGCACCTCGATCAACCCACGAGTATCTTGGTTTGCGATAGGTGCGGATCCTACTCCGAAGGGTTGGGTCGAGGGCTCACTGGGGTTTGCAGCACTCGAGTGGCTCATCAAGGCGCGGCCACTCGGCTCGCCCGCACTCAGGAAGGGTGGGATCCGCAGGGCCCAAGGAGTTCCCCGATCGTTTTCTCGACCCCGGCGGCTCCACTGGCTAGTTTGGTCCGCGAAGAACAGGCAACGTCAGTGTCAGTTTAAAGCTGAAGAATCCAGATAGGCGCACAGCAGGGGCGAGGCCTGCCACCGTCCTGGCGTTCCTTTCACCGGGGGCGGGCGGTGCCTCGTCGTCCTGGCGTCGCCTCGTGATTCTCTTGTGCTCGTGCGTCTGTGTGTGCGCGCGCGTCAGCACGCGTGTCAGGCACCCCGACCCAGGGGGAAGGGGCGCTAGAGTATTTCTCTGCGGCGAATGTTGCACAGGGGGCCATTATCCTGCTGGTGGGCTGGGCACGGGGCTGGACTTGGTTTAGCCAGTCCACCTCGACCGTCGCCCGCCCCCCATCCACTCTCCGCGGTAGCCTGACGCTCGCAGCGGGCTCGATCTGGGGTCCCTGTGTCGCCCTGTTTGGCAGTGCTGGTGACGCGCAGCCAGCCCTGGAACTTGGGCCGAGGGATTCCGCCAGGCAGGCGATGCTGACCGTCCGTGGAACGCTGGAGGTAAGGCTCCCTGTGCGGCGACAGTTGCGCAGGGGGGCCGGCCCCCCCCCATGGGGTCTGGGCACGGGGGTGGACTTGATTTGCCTGTCCACCTCGACCGCTGCTCAGCCCCACCCCTCTCCCCTGCCCTCGTGGGCGGCGGAATGGAGGAGCCGTAGTGGCTAGGTCTGCAAACGTCACATCAGGGCCCTTCGCCCTCTTTCAGCGTCGGCAGCGTCCTGCCGTCTCTGCGGCCAGTTGGTTCACCATCGGCCGCAGTGGAGAACATAGGTGGCCCAGCGCCATTAGGTTTTGGGTTAGGGTCGGGCCGGCCAACCCTTAGCCTCCCTCATTCGCCATGTGATTGTTCTCCTCTTTCTCCTCCTCCTTTTCCTCCTCATCTTCAGCATCATCATCAGCAGCAGCATCATCATCATCACCATCATCATCATCAGCATCTTCGTCGACGCCGTCGTCGCCGTGGCCTATCGTGGGAGCGGGGGTGGCCCCGGGGTGGGGCCAGCCGTCGTTGTGCGGACGGCGCCAGTTTGTTGTGCTCTCCTCCTCCCTCCAGGGAAGGGGGGATAGCCGAACGGGGGGGCGAGAGATCGGCACGAACGAACTAGGTACGGAAAGACTGAGAACGATGCCCAACAGCATGATACTTGTTCCTTCTCAACAGGGCCCGCTGTCCGCGCCGCCGCGGGCAAGACAAACGGCCGCCTGCTCGACAGCGGCCGCCGTCGGTTTTGGACAACATTCGCTGCTGGGCGTTGTTCCCACTTCTTCCGCACCCACTTCGGGCGTCCAGAAGCACGCCCACGGGGGACGAAGCATGCCAGAGGGGCGCCGCCGATGTCTCGACCCGCCCGCCGCCGCGTGGCGTCGGACGCCCGGGGTCGCATCCCCCGTCCTGCTTCTGCTCCTCTCCCGAGGCGGCGGAGGCGCCCGCGGGCACCAGCGCTGCGGCGGGCAGCCGCGGGCGCAATCTTCGCCGATCGTGCTCCGAGGAAGCGCTCTCGAGGCGGGAGCTCGGCGAGGAGTTGTGCGCGCGCCTGGACCAGATCGACACCAGGCTCGAGTGGCTCATCTCGCGCGTCAGGTCATGGAAGGGTTCGAGAAAGCCCGCCTTGACAATAGAGAAGGCGGGTGGTGTGGCTTGCGGAGGCATTTGCAGATGAGACTCTCTTTCCTTGATGGATGCTGGCCTCCTAAACTCTGGCTCTCTCCCAGAGGGCCACGTGCCTGTTAATTGCTAATCGTCAGGGTCACCGGCATCGCGGCCACGCACTGCGACAGCAATGCCAGCTCCACCCTCGGCTTCAGCGCCCTCGACCCGCAGGAGTCGGTCACGAGCACTGTCCAGAAGGCCCAGCGACATGCAGACGATGGCGGCGGGAGGGCGGGGTGGCCCTCCCAGAACCCAAACCCTCCAGGGTCATGAAAAGAAAACGACGGGAGTTTTTTGTTTAAATAAAAAATGCCCCAGGACGACGCTTACCGGGCCCCAGGGCCGTAACAAACGACTCACGGTGAAACACCAGTTCCGGGGAATGGGTCGAGACCGTTGGAGGGCAACGTTATGGAAGAATCATGACGTCGGGGGTATGGGGCTCGCCGGGAGGCCTTGGCACCCTCTGGGAACCCAACTCAGAGGCGCCCGATCCCCTCTGAGGAGGCCTCTGCTTTTCTTTTCCTCGACGAGGACAGACTTGCACAGGTATAAACTTGTACGTAGCATCTTCGGGGGACCTCGCCTGTCACCGAGATTGGTGTCTTTTCTTGAGCCCGACGCGGGCCCGATGCGGACACAATGCGGATCTCGCGCGGACTCGACGCGGATTCGACGCAGATTCGACACGGCTCCGACGAGGCCGACACGGATTCGACAAGGACAGGGCCGCAACGGGTCGCACATAAGGTCCCCCGACGACGCAGCATACAGTCGGGGCCCTGAAGAAGGAACCCTTTTCGTTGGGGAGGGGCTCGGTGTTCCTGGACTGTTTCACAGCTTGCCTCAGGCTTTCCTTATGTCTTCGACAGGAAATCGAAGGTTACCTTATGGAAACAATGGGCCTCGTTCCTTATTTAGGGTTCCTTAGGTCAACGCCCCGACTGTCGTAGATTGTTGAGGTCCGCGAGGATCTCTTGGATCGACGCCGGAAGCCCCTCCCTGGCGGGGGCCCGCACCAGGGGCGGCGCCAGAGGCGCCGCCAGGGGGCCGCAGCGCCGATCCAAGAAGTCTTCGGGGACCTCCGGAGGTTCCTTTCGCTCCTCTATTCGTTGGTGGTCCCCAAACGTGGTGGTGAGAACACCCGGTAGTGAGTTTTGGGCGATTTGGGTAATGGTTTTCGAGCGCTGGCTGGCCCAGGAAACGCAAAACCTCGTGGCGACCGCGTGTCCCCAAACCTGGTGGTGGCCCAGAATTATTTTTTTTTGGGGGGGGTCACCGCCGGGTGTCTCACCACCTGGTTCGGCGAGCCTGGAAGCTGGAGGGAAAGTGAGAAGCAGGAGGCCTTGCGTGTTCTGGCCGACGGAGGGTATCGTATCCTCGAGGGGTGTCCTTCAGGCCCAGGTCCGACTGTAGCGCTCGTTTTCTGGGCCGAACCACCTCCATCCCCAGATGACGCTAGCGTTAAGTCGGGCGCGTCCCTCTACAGGAGGCATAAAAAGTAAAAGAACTAGTCTGGAGGCGATTGTCTTGTATTTGTTGTCAACAAATACATGTTATTCAATGAATAACATGTATTGGTTTGTTGTTTGAATGTATTTCTTCTGTCGGCCAACATCCGCCTGCAGAAGGACAAGGCCGAACCTAAAGCTAACGATCGTACAAGGGTGAGGGGTCCTGGACCTCCCGCCGACACATGTTGAGGGGCAAACAGGCGCTCAATGCGCCGTTGTCGCGGGCGCACCCTGGCCGATACACGCCGCGGCCGCCGTTCACCGGCACCCTCCCGCCCGACCCCGCCCCCCCCCCCCCTCCCGGGCAACGACCGTTACCCGGGGAGGAGGAGGAGGAGGAGGAGGAGGAGGAGGAGGAGGAGGAGGAGGAGGAGGAGGAGGAGGAGGAGGAGGAGGAGGAAGGGGAGGAGGAGGAGGAGGAGGGGGAGGGGAAGGAGGAGGAGGGGGAGGGGGAGGAGGGAGGAGGAGGAGGGGGAGGGGGAGGAGGAGGAGGAGGAGGAGGAGGAGGCCCCCCCCTGGGTGACGACCGTTCCCCGGGAGCGAAACGCAGAAACGGCCACGTGGGCGAAAGCAGATCCGAGTCCGCGGCCTCGCGGGCTGGGCCGTGGTGGGCCGTGGCTCCGCGGCTTCGGGGCGTCGCCTCGCGGGTGCCCCGCGCGGAGCGTGTCCGTGCGACCGCGTAGCCTGAAATCGGGCCTGTCCCCCCTGCAGAGGGGTTTTCGACGAAAAGTCAAAAACGGCCCCAAAATAGTCCAAAAATAGTCTGGGCACTATTTTTTTGGTATTTGTTGTACCTGTTTGGTGTATTTTTGGTGCATTTTTTGTTTTCAGCGAAAAATCAAAGTGCCCCATACAGAGGGATTTTCGACGAAAAATCAAAAGTGCCCCAAAAATAGTCCAAAAATAATCTGGGGACTATGTTTGGGGTATGTTTTGTACTTTTTCGGTGCATTTCTGGAGTAGTTCTTAATTCATCGTCGAAAATCCCCCTGTCTGGGGGACACGCCCGACATAAACGCCCAAAACATAAAAAACGCTTCAAAAATAATCCAAAACATAGTCTGGGTACTATTTTTTGTATTTTTATATCTTTTTGGTGCATTTGTGGGGTATTTTCTTTATCTGTCGTCGAAAATCCCCCTGTAGGGGGACACGCCCGACATACGCGTAGCCGCGGGAGCTCGCCCCAGAACGCAGGCCGCGAGGGCGCGGATATCGGATGCGTTCGCCGTGCGTGGACGTCCGGCGCTCCGATGCGCTCGATGCGCGGCTTCCCCCCGAGCTGCGGACAGTTTCCCCATGCCTGTACGACCACCCGTCGGGTGACAGCGAGCGAAGAACGGTATAAAATAGACTTTTTCGCTGTCGGGGGCGCCTGTCCCTGGGCGGCTGGAAAGTTTATACCCCTACGGTGCCACCGTAAGGGTATAAACTTTCCAGCCGCCCTGGGACAGGCGCCCCCGACAGCGAAAAGTGTATTTTATACCGTTCTTCGCCCGTTAAGGGTGATCGACGCAATCGATCTCACTATCGATCTCACTGCCATCGATCTCACGATCGATCTCACTGTCGATATTGCCATCGGTCTCCTCACACTCGGTCTCGCAATCGACCTCCCTATCGATCTCGGTCTCGGTCTCACTGTGGATCCCACTGTCAATCCAACTATCGATCTCACTATCGATCTCACTATCGATATCACTATCGATCGCAGCATCGATCTCACTATGGATCTCACGATCGGTCGCACTGCCGATCTCCCGATCGATCTCACTATCGATCTCACTATCCTTCTCACTATCGATCTCACGGGACACCACCGGGCACCGTGCAATCGGGATATTCATCCAAGCCCACGGCGGGAGACACCGCGGGACGCCACCAGGACACCACCTCGGACCACCATCACGGGACACCGCGGGACACCGCGGGACAAGGTGGGACATCGTGGGAAACCACGGGACAGACATGATCGCGCCGTCAAAAAATCAGGACGGGAGGTTTTGGGCCAATTTCGGCCTCGGTGGGCCCTCGCCAGGCCTCGGGACCGTCAACAAAAAGAGTCGGGATGAAAAACCGGTCCCGGGGAAAGTGTCTGGACTTCCAGACCCCGCATGGAAAAAAACAGGACGTCGCATGTCTTGGGGGACACCATCGGGACACCACGGCGGGACACTGCGGGCAACCATCGACAAACCACCAGGACAGCATCGGGACACCCATCGAGGCACCGCGGGACACCACGGAACACCATCGAGGCACCACGGAGCCTCATGGGGACATCACGGAGAGACGCCCCCAGCACTTGCCTGCCACGCGGCCGTTGGGGGGGGGGGAGGGGCGGGGGGCAGACTTGTCTGTCCTCGCCGCGCCCTAGCCAGAGAAGATGGCTCATTCTTTGCGCTTGCCCACGCAGCTTCGCCGCGCCCGCGCGCGCGCGACACGGATCCGAAACCAAATCCGATTTCTTGGTTGGTTGGGGGCTCTCCGTTCCCCTTCGATCTCGCCCCCTCACTTCTGACATCAGGGCCGTCTTTTTATCCTGTCTGCTTGTTTGACGGTCCCGGGCTTCTCCTCGTGGAAGGCCCCTGGCAGCCGGAAGTAGCAAGCAACCAGCCGATCCAATTTTTGCCTGAGCCTCGGATCTCAGGGCCAACTCCGATCTGCTTGCCAACCGGATACTACCTATAATTGTACGACCACCTTTCGGGTGATACGGAGGTTGGGGGGGGGGAGAACACCGACGGGACTCCATGGCGGGACACCACGGAGTGACAGCCCCGGCCACGCTGGCCCACCAGAAGGGCGGTCTTTTGTCTTGGCCCGCCCTAGCCTCAGCGGAGTCATTCCTCCCGGCCACGCAGCTTGGCCTCGCCCGCACGCACGACACAAACCGATACCGAAACCGATTACATGGAGGGCTTGCTCTCCGTTCCACTTCGATCTCCCCTCCCGAATCTCCGACGGCCACGGGTGATGAGGTCCGGGGTGGAGGATGAACCAACGTGACGTTCAATCGATCTCACTATCGGTCACCCTATCGATCTCACTATCGTTCTCAGTATCGAACTCACAATCAATCGCACCACCGATCTTATTATTGATTTCACAAAGAATCTCACTGCCAGTCTCACTATCGATCTCACGATCGACCTCATAAACGATCTCACTATCGACCTCACACTCCACCGCACTATCGATCCGACTGTCGCTATCTAGACGACCACCCTTCGGGCGATGAGGAGGTGGGGGGGCGGAAAGGCGCCCGACGGGACGCCACGGCGGGACACCACGGTGGGAAACCCCGGGCCACGCTGGCCCACCAGAGGGGCGGTCTCTTCTGTTTTGGCCCGCCCTAGCCTCGGCGGAGTCATGCCTCTCGACCACGCCGCTCGGCCTCGCACGCACGGCACGAGCCCGAAACCGAAACCGATTTTTTCTCGGGCGGGGGCTCTCCTTCCCGTGTCGCTCTCGTTCCCAGACCTCCGATTTCGGTCGATCTCACTATCGATCTCACGATCGGTTTTGCCATCGATCGCATTGTCGGTCTCACTCTGGATTTCACGATCGATCTCATGATCGGTCTAACTATCGATCTCACGATCGATCCTGCTATCCATCCCTCTGTCGATCGCATTGTCGGTGTCAGGGTCGAATTCACCATTTATCTCGCTATCGATCTCG